GTCACAGATCCACCCCACACGCCCACAGCGACTAGCTAACCAAGGCGTGCACGTGCGGCCATGACTTGGGGTAAGAGGGAATAAGAAGGAACTAATCTGAATATATATACGTATAGAAGACCGGCCGTGATATACTTTCACAGCCCGCACTACCTCTGGCCACCACTAGAGGGAGACTCCAATCCAGCTGGCTGACCACACACATGGGCAGACACGAATCTTATATACAATCTGGTGCACACTAAGGGTTGAGGAGCAGCCTAGCAATCGGCACACCCTTCAAGGGTTCCTCCAGCTATCCTACAAGCTAGAACCCCAGTGTTAATCACTCTTCCACCGTCCACACACCCTCACACCAGACAAACCACAAACGGTAGCTTGCCACCACCCAACAGTTTTATCTGCAGACTGGCCTGCTGGGCCACCACACACCCAGATCTCCGTCTGGCAGATCTGTTACCTATGCAATCTGCCAACACAGTGCAATTGCATACAGATTGGCAATGAACTTGACCGAGCATATAAAGACAATACAATACAATCTCTCTGGAGATATGAGCCCAAGCTTAAGTACCCAGAAGTCACTTATTAATTTTATGATTTAATATCCCGAAAGTTGGCAGTGCATAAAATATGTACAAAGTATAAAAAGTTACAGAAAATACAAAAAATACAAGAAGACACACAATTAGCTATTGACTATAAAAGGGAATAAAAAAAACAGAAATAAAACTTTTACCAAGAGTTATCCTGCGACTGGAGCAAGTCAGAGAAAGTCTGCGATCCACCAGTCAATAGAACTGACTCCGTACAAATCACACCGTCCATATCCCAGGTCCTCAATTTATGGTAATATGCACATAGGCTGGACATTAGCCCTTAGCCAATCGACTTTGGGGGGGTGTTCCTGTACCAGCCCACAGGACGTTCTGGGTACTGAAATGCCCAAAGTCGATTGGACCTGGAACGGTTTGAATCACCAAGTCAGGGATTTAATTTCCACCAGCGCATCAGTACGATTGTGACAGTACCAATCACTGTTCAGATGTTGCAATCAGGAGCCATATAACCATTTTCTGCATTTCTCTGGGATTCTACAGAGGCTACAAATACAGATTTTACATACAGGTGTAGCCTACAGTGTGTCCAATCAGAAGGAAGTATTTTCATCTCTCTGCAACTGTTTTAGCTTTTATGAGAGATTAAATATATTCCTTTGATCTGTGTATATACGTCAAAGCTCCCAGACACATCGGAACCACCTCTGGTCTCCCGCTGTGTCATGAAGCCGAACTGTCTAGAGCCTTTTCCTTCCAGATTTCCAGAAGAAGGTGACAAATCTTATTGGCATCCAAGTGTCACCTCCCTTCTAGAGGATGCTCTGTCCCTTCAGATGCTAATTGGTGACCATATGTCTCTGACTTAATTCTGAACACATCTTATATTATTATAACATGGACTGAAGCTAAACCTACATTGTCATATTTCTACAGATCACATGTCAGCTACTCAAATCTTACATGTACATTACACATGGGCATTACTAAAAAAAAATTAATTGCGTTTGTATTGGTCCACAGACCCGATTCATCATATGCCCGTGTTCTCTGCTGCCATGGCCAGGCATAGATAAGAGTGTATAATGTGTTTTATGCATTTCAACAACAATACACTCTGTCGTCCTCTGGGTGACCCTGAATTTGATAGGCTCCACAAAATTCGGCCGCTCGTAAATCACCTTAACCAAAAATTTGCAGATGTCTATACTCCCCAGCAAAAAACTCTGCATTGATGAGTCCCTCAATTTTTCTGGCTGCCTTGCATTCAAACAATTTCTCCCCAGCAAGCATGCCAGATATGGGATCAAGATGTAGAAGACCTCTGAGAGGGCAACAGGCTATACATACAGTACAAGTTTCGGATTTACGAGGGAAAAGATAGTCACGTGGAGCCCCCGGATGCCTAGACTACATGGGGAGTAGGGGCAAGATAGTTTGGGACTTGGTGTCATCCTTTTTCCATATGGGGTACCACTTATACGTGGACAATGTTTATTCAAGCGTGCCACTATTTAGACATTTGTACAATCTTGAAATTGGCGCATGTGGCACCGTGTAACCTAATGTGTGCCCACCATTAGAAGTGGGTGAGCATACCACACACTTTCTGGCAGAGATTTCCTCTCTTTTTCATTCAGCCTACAGGCATCATCCTAGTATTTTTTTCAGCCATCGATAGACTCATGTAAAAGCAATCCTAGTGGCTAATTAGCTGCAGGATTGCTTTTACAAGATGATGCCCCCCCTCCCCCACTGCCTTCCACAACCTTCTCAGGCAGTCCCGTGCCATCGGGGGAACCTGAGAATGCAGCCGGTGTTTCTGCCAGCTGACCATGGAGCTGATTGGAGACCGGAATGGTGCCAATCATCTCTATAGTCTAAGAAATCAGAAGCTACGAGCCTTTAATTACCTCAGTTTCGCAGGATATAAACCACCATTTGTAAATTGGAAAAGCATCTGATCACACGGATCTTGGTTTGATTAGATAATGTAGGGCAGAGGAGATATCTAGAGTCTGATAGACCCCAGACTTCTCAAAAAAGATTATATGACAAATGCCCATTGATGTTATAGGGGACATTTGCATTCCCTGTGATAGCATTAAAAGTGATAAAAAAAAAATTAAAAGGGACAGTGTTAAAAAAAAAAAACCTGCGTGCACGAGCGTTGATCCTGTACCGGTATGTAAACAGCGGTTGCACCATGCATGTGAGGTATCACCATGAATGTCAGATCAAGGGCAGTAATTCTAGCACTAGACCTCCTCTGTAAATCTAAAATGGTTGCTTGTAAAGGCTTTTAAAGCGTTGCCTATGAATATTAAAAAATGTATGCAGTTTGTTGCCATTGCACGGGGTATGCACAGTTTTAAAGCATGTCATGTTTGGTATCTATTTACTTGACCTACCATCTTTTATATTTTACCAAATAATTGGCCAATATATTGTGTTTCTGTGCATTAAAAGTAAAAACCTTTTTTTTTTTAATATTGCGTTTGAAAAATCGCTACGCGAGTACTATGTGACAAAAAAATTGTCCATTTTATTCACTAGGGCGTTTGCTTTAAAGAAAAAATAATGTTTGGGGGTTTAAATTAATTTCCTAGCAAAAAATAAAGATTTTTTTCATGTGAACAAAAAGTGTCAGAAAAGGTTTGATCTTTTGGTTAGAAGAGTGAGTGATGTGTGGCATAAACTTCTAATGCAGGTAATAAAATGCCCCCACCCACCAAAACAACCCCTTTTTGGAAAGTAGATACCCCAAAACTATTTACTGAGAGGCATGTTGAATCAATAAAAGAATTTATTTTTTTTGCCACAAGTTTTTTTGAAAATGACGCATTTTTTTTTTTAAGTGACAAAATTGTCACTTAAATTTATTGCTCACACATGCTATGTGGTATCCCCATACTGGTAGAAGTACCAGAATGTATTTTGGGGTGTAATTCCACATATACCCATGCCTTGTGTGAGAAATATATCATTTAAATGACACCTTTGTGTAAAAGAAAAAAAAAATGTTTTTAATTTTCCAGAAACTTGTAAAAAAAAAAATAAAATCTTCCATGGACTCTAGACACCCTAAGATTTCTGCTGAGAGGCATATTCTTTCTGAAAAGGGGTCATTTGGGGGTGTTTGTACTATCCTGGTATCTTAGCACCTCAAGAAATGTGATGGGCAGTCAGAAAGTAAAAGCTGTGTAAATTAAATTATCTATACCATAGTTTGTAAATTAAATTATCTTATTGGGATTTTTTAACCATAGTTTGTAGACGCTATAAAAACGTTCACACAAAGCAATCAATATACACTTATTTGGATTTTTTTTTTACCAATTGTCAAAAACATGTAGCAGAATACATTTTGGCCTAAATTTATAACTTTTTTTTTTTATAGCAGAAAATTTAAAAAAAAATACTTTTTTTTTTTCTGAAATTAAAAAAATAGTTTTTCTTTTTCGGTCGGTTTATAGCGCAAAAAATAAAAAGCACACAGGTGATCAAATAGCATCGAAAGAAAGCTCAATTTGTGTGAAAAAAAGGACGGAAATTGCGTTTGGGTAGCAAAAAGAGGCCTGGTGATTAAGGGGGGGTAAATCCTCTGGAGGGCAAGTGGTTAGGCAGAGGCCCTACAGAATAAAATGGTCAGTGTTGTCACACAGTATTTGTGCCATGGGTTTTCCAATGCAAGGTTTTGAAAAAACACACTAATGAATTTTAATGCTCAAAAACACAATATAATACAAAACTATAAAAGATGATGTTACTCCAAGTAGATACCCAACATGTCACACTTAATTTGCATATGCCTGTTGAATAGCAACAAATTACAGTACGGGGGGGGGGGGGGGGGGGGGGGGGGGGGGGATTAACCAGCACAGTTCCTATTTCTCTACAAAAAAAATAATAAATAAAAATCAGTAATTTATGGACACTGGCTAATTTTATTTCTTTTGGATGTACTTGTGATCTGATACATTAGTCATTTTGCATGTTTGTTAAGGGGCTGAGGAGCAATACCAGTTTCTGTATTATTGATGACTTCTACCATGCAACAGATTTCTAAAGATGCTACAGATGCGATTGGCAGAAAAGTGCCTAAAGTGTGTGAATGACTCAGTTTAAGTCTCCTTCTGCACGCAAGGACAGTATATTTTTATGGATTTTAGTCTATTAAACATAAAACAGAATACATAAGCCAACAGACAGAATGCCAACTACCATACAATATTTCCTTTTTATTATTCAACCTGTTATAGAAAAAACATGGACTACTTTCTGAAACAGACTTTTCAAGTACACTTGCAACTTTCAGTAGCTTTTACATTCACATGTGACATTTGTTGGTTTAGAAAACAAGCCCCCCTCATTTTGGTGTGATAATTCTTAATATTTATAAGAAAATGTTCTGCGGCAAATGCCTGCCACATGTTCCAGCTTCTATAGACAATCCACTACCTCTAACAGTGGCTGTGAAAGGCCAGGCTTGAAAACGGTGTAATGAAATTGAGAGAATCCTGGTGCTTTACAGCAAGCAGCACCTAAACAAAAACAAAAAAAAAACAAATGTTATACTGAGGATTTTCATTTTACTCAATATTTGTCTGGTATATTTAGGTACACATGGTGCTAGCTATACATCCAATTATATGACACTTTCTGACCACATTCTGCTTTGCCTTAAAACATTAAAAGGATAATGTCAGGGTGTGGGTAGCAATATTAAGATTTGCATCAAACATCACCTTGCTTTAAAAAAAAGCTGCCAACATAAAACTATTGCTAAATGCTTCTGTGTACTATGTCAACTAGCTTTAGCCTGTATACAGATGGCAATGTAGAGAATGCACTGACAATCCACCTTCCCTAGTCCAACATACAGGACTATAAAACTTTATTTTGTTAGAATATACTGTTGTGTACAATGCCATTATTCCTAAAATCAAACCCTGTCTTAGAAGAATTCTATGATTATACAAAGGCCCTTGCACTGAGCAAACCTACATATTTTTCCAAGTTGAGATTATTTCACCATGCCATAGTTTGAGGGCATGACTGTCATGGGTAAGTTAGAATTACATAGTGCAAATGTGGATGCATTTGTTTTTTTTTTTCTTGCAAAATGTGTACTTTGCCTTTAAACACAGATCTTAATAAAGTGTTGTCTGTCAGTTTACTCAAGCTTTAACCACTCTAAAACCAAAAGATGGCTACATCGTAGTTCTCCAGTTCTGCTAGGATGTCCTCCCACATGGGGCATGCTCTGATTGCGGTGTCCTTTGGACACAGCTGAATCACATGGTAAAGGGCTACTGTGATTGGCCCTTTACCGCGATCTGTGATCAGCTGTGTCCAATCAAAGCTCGTCACATGTAAACAGACTTGCCAGTTATAAGCATTTCCTTTCCTTACACGTCTGCGTGAGGAAAGGAGAGCCAATAACCAGCCAGTCTGACAGGGCACAACGAGTACATTGTTTACAATAATAATCAGGGCATTTATAATCAGTGCAGCCTCAGCAGCACACGTCAGTGAAGAAAAACATATTTATTTGCAAAAAATTTATAACAGAAACGAAGAAAAATGTTTTTTTTTGTTTATATCATCACCATTGGGGTTTTAATTTTTTTGCTAAACACTAAAAGAAACCTCTGTCTCAAAAAAAGAAAAACAAAATGTAATTTGGGTACAGTATTGATCACGTAATTGACAAAGTGTGACAGCACTAAAAATTGGCCTGGGCAGGAAGGGAGTGAAAGTGTTTGGTATTGAAGTAGTGCTAAAGCCTGCTAGCTGCTTGTTTAACTAGTTGCCGACCGCAGATAGCCGAATGACGGCTGCACTGCGGCCGGCCAGTTCTGGGTGGACGTCATATGACGTCCCCCCAGAACGCGCTCTCCTGCGCGCCCCAGGGGGCGCGCACCCGGCGATCTCCGTGATCGCTGTGTCCTACGGACACAGCTGATCACGAGATGTGGTAAAAGGCCAATCATACCGGCCTTTTACCACGTGATCAGCGGTGTCCAATGACACGCTGATCACAGGGAAAATGCAAGTGCCGGTTCTCGGCTGCACTTTCCTCACGCTGTCAGATCGTGAGGAAAGTACTGCCGAGAACCGGCAGTTGTCAGAGCGAGAATCGGCACCGATCATCAGGGCACTGATGATCAGTGCCCTGATGATCGGTGCCCAGCAGTGACACCCACAAGTTCCGCCCACCTGTGCCCAGCAGTGCGCCCACTAGCTCCGCCCACCTGTGCCCAGCAGTGCACCTGTGCCCAGCAGTGCACCCACCTGTGCCACTCTGCAGTGCCACACACCTGTGCCCAGAAGTTCCACCTACCTGTGCCCAGCAGTGCCACCTGTGCCCACCTGTGCCAACCCACCTGTGCCCACCAGTGCCACCCACCTGTGCCCACCCACCAGTGCCACCCACCAGTGCTGTCCACCAGTGCAGCCCAGCAGTGCTGCCAGTCAGTGCCACCAGTCAGTGCCCAGCGGTTGTGCCAGTCAGTGCCACCAGTCAGCGCCCAGCAGTGATGCCAGTCAGTGCAGTCTATCAGTACCCATCATCAGTGTCACCTATCAGTGTCACCTATCAGTGCTGCATATTAGTGCCGCCTATCCGTGACACCTCATTAGTGCTGCCTATCAGTGCCGCCTATCCGTGCCACCTCATTAGTACTGCCTATCAGTGCCCTTTAGTGCTGCCTATCAGTGCTGCCTCATCAAACGCACATCAGTGAAGGAGAAAAATTACCTGTTTGAAAAATTTTATAATAGAAACAAAGAAACTTTTTTTTTTTTTTTCAAATTTTTTGCACTTTTTTAATTTAAAGCGCAAAAAGTAATGCGCCCAGTGGCGATTAAATACCACCAAAAGAAAGCTCTATTTGTGAGAAAAAAAATGATCAAAATTTCATATGGGTACAATGTTGCATGACTGCGCAATTGTCAATCAAAGTGCGGCAGCGCTGAAAGCTGAAAATTGGCCTGGTAAGGAAGGGGGTATAAGTGCCTGGTAGGCAAGTGGTTAAAGGAACAGTCAGATCTTCCATCAAGATAGTACTTTAAGTGCTTGTTCACACTGGAATGTGGTTCAGGAGAGCTTTCCGCACCATATTCCTTTTGCAATGCCATTGCGATCTGCTGCGGAGGTAAGTTCAAGTTAACGTCAACCTGAATGCAGCTTGCAAATGCATTGCGTTTGCCCGCATCAAACCGCATGGTACAAAGTACTATGCGATACAGTTGGCATGCGTTTACAAAAAAAAAAAAAAAAAGAAAAAAAAGTAGTGCATGCACTTCTTTTAGCGTGGTGCAGTGATTTCATCCTATAAATTGAATTGGCATGAAACTGCACCGCATAGAGCCGCATATGAATCACACAGGAACGTACATCACATTCCTGCACAATTCACATCAGCGCATAGTGTGAATCAGCCCTAAAAAGGTAGATGCACACAACCCACAGAGATAGAACGTTCGGTTTTTCTCTTTGTGTAGTTTTTTTTTTTTTATAAAGTGACATTCTATTCATTATTTGCATGGCAGGTCATCGTTGAACTGCATATGGAGCATACAGAAATCCACGGTTTTCGGTTTGCCCTTGCAGAGAGCTCTATTTTTCTTCTACAGGCACTAGCCCTACAAATTTCAACTAAATTTGTCAAAAGCTCTGCAAATTCTTTGTAAATGTTTCCTGTTCATGCTGCTTTTATACAAGCTGAATATGGTCATGTGAGCAAGGCTTTAGGCTATTTATTTCAGGTACTTATATAGCGCCATCAATTTTATGCAGCGCTTTACATATACAGTGGGGCAAAAAAGTATTTAGTCAGCCACCAATTGTGCAAGTTCTCCCACTTAAAAAGAGGAGAGAGGCCTGTAATTGGCATCATAGGAAGACCTCAACTATGAGAGACAAAATGAGAAAAAAAATCCAGACAATCACATTGGCTGATTTGGAAAGAATTTATTTGCAAATTATGGTGGAAAATAAGTATTTGGTCAATATCAAAAGTTCATCTCAATACTTTGTTATATATCCTTTGTTGACAATGACAGAGGTCAAACGTTTCCTGTAAGTCTTCACAAGGTTGGCACACACTTTGCTGGTATGTTGGCCCATTCCTCCATGCTGTTCTCCTCTAGAGCAGTGATGTTTTGGGGCTGTCACTGGGCAACACGGACTTTCAACTCCCTCCAAAGGTTTTCTATGGGGTTGAGATCTGGAGACAGGCTAGGCCACTCCAGGACCTTGACATGCTTCTTATGAAGCCACTCCTTCGTTGCCCGGGTGGTATGTTTGAGATCATTGTCATGTTGAAAGACCCAGCCACGTTTCATCTTCAGTGTCCTTGCTGATGGAAGGAGGTTTGCACTCAAAATCTCACAATACACGGCCACATTCATTCTGTCCTGTACATGGATCAGTCGTCCTGGTCCCTTTGCGGAGAAACAGCCCCAAAGCATGATGTTGCCACCCCCATGCTTCACAGTAGGTATGGTGTTCTTTGGATGCAACTCCGCATTCTCTCTCCTACAAACACGACGAGTTGTGTTTCTACCAAACAGTTCTATTTTGGTTTCATCTGACCATATGACATTCTCCCAATCCTCTTCTGGATCATTCAAATGCTCTCTAGCAAACTTCAGACGGGGCCCGAACATGTACTGGCTTAAGCAGGGGGACACGTCTGGCACTGCAGGATCTGAGTCCCTGGCGGTGTAGTGTGTTACTGATGGTAGTCTTTGTTACGTTGGTCCCAGCTCTCTGCAGGTCAATTCACTAGGCCCCCCCGTGTGGTCCTGGGATTTCTGCTCACTGTTCTTGTGATCATTTTGACCCCACGGGGTGAGATCTTGCGTGGAGCCCCAGATCGAGGGAGATTATCAGTGGTCTTGTAGGTCCTCCATTTTCTAATTATTGCCCCAACAGTTGATTTGTTCACACCAAGCTGCTTGCCTATTGCAGATTCAGTCTTCCCAGCCTGGTGCAGGTCTACAATTTTGTTTCTGGTGTCCTTTGACAGCTCTTTGGTCTTCACCATAGTGGAGTTTGGAGTGTGACTTTTTGAGGTTGTGGACAGTGTCTTTTATACTGATAAGTTCAAACAGGTGCCATTGATACAGGTAATGAGTGCAGGACAGAGGAGCCTCTTAAAGAAGAAGGTACAAGTCTGCAAAAGCCAGTAATCTTGCTTGCTTGTTTGTAGGTGACCAAATACTTATTTTCCACCATAATTTGCAAATAAATTCTTTCCAAATCAGCCAATGTGATTGTCTGGATTTTGTTTCTCATTTTGTCTCTCATAGTTGAGGTCTACCTATGATGCCAATTACAGGCCTCTCTCATCTTTTTAAGTGGGAGAACTTGCACAATTGGTGGCTGACTAAATACTTTTTTGCCCCACTGTATATTGTACATTCACATCAGTCCCTAACCCTCAAGGGGTGTACAGTCTAAGGTCCCTAACTCACAGTCATATACAGTATATACTAGGGCCAATTTAGACAGGAGCCAATTCACCTACCAGCA